GGCCAAGATCAAAAACACTGATGACAACTTATGCTGGAGAGGTTGTGGGGAAAAGGGAACACTTCTGCATTGCTGGTGGGAATGCAAGATGGTACAGCCCCTTTGGATGTCAGTGTGGCGATTTCTCAGAAAATTAGGAAACAACCTTCCTCAAGACCCAGTAATACTATTTTTGGGTATATCCAAAGGATGCTCAATCGTGCCACAAGGACATGTGCTCAACTATGTTCATAGCAGCTTTGTTTGTCATAGCCAGAACCTGGAAACAACCTAAATGCCCCTTGATCGAAGAATGGATAAGGAAAATGTGGTACATTTACACAATGGAGTACTACACAGCAGAAAAAAAATAACGACAGCTTGAAATTTGCAAGAAAATGGATGGAGCTAGAAAACATTATTTTGAGTGAGGTAACTAAGACACAGAAAGATAATTATCAGATGTACTCACTCACAGGTGGTTTTTAAACATAAAGCAAAGAAAGCCAGCCTACAAACCACAATCCCAGAGAATTTAGACAACAATGACGACACTAAGAGAAACTTATATAGATCTAATCTACATGGGAAGTAGAAAGTAGAAAAAGACAAGATCTGAGTAAGTTGGGATTATGGGGACCTTGAGGGAGGATTGAAGTGGGGAGGGGAGAAGCAGGGAGGGAAACAGAGAAAAATGTAGAGCTCAATAAATATCAATTAAAAAAAAGAATTATTTGGGAGCTGGGGTTGCAATTCTGAAAAAGATATGAAATGTGAATTTCTTAGGAGTTTGGGTCTAAAACAAGGATCAGACAACCAAACCGTCTTTGAAAACAAACAAAAGGTTGTGTGAGTGTAAAACTGTGTTGTTGCTGGGCGGTGGTGGCGCATGCCTTTAATCCCAGCACTAGGGAGGCAAAGCTAGGCAGATCTTTGTGAGTTCGAGGCCAGCCTGTACTAAAATAAGCCCCCTAAAATAAGTTTTAAGCTGATTTTTCTCAGGTATTTTTGTCACAACAATGAGAAGCTTACTAATAAAATTCAACAACACATTGAAAGGGTTATAATACTACAATTCAGTGGGATTTATTCTTAGACTACAAAGATGATTCATAATACAAAAATCAGTCAATAAGGGGGCTGGAGAGATGGCTCAGTGGTTAAGAGCACTGGCTGCTCTTCCAGAGGACCTGGGTGCAATCTCTAGCACCCACATGATGGCTCACAATCCTCTGTATCAAAGGAGGATCTGATACCTCTGAGGGCACTGCACGAACACAGTGCACAGACATACATGCAGGCAAACACCCATACACATAAAATAAATAAAAATTTAAGAATTCAATCAATGCAATGTACCGCATTAACAATGAACGTCAAGCACTGAGTAGTAAAAGGGAACCATGAGTGAAGAAACGGTAAACCTGGACCTGTGCAGTATGGCATCATAACTAAAGTTCACAACAGCCACAATCCCCACATTCTGATCTATACGGTATATATTTAAATTTAGGGGCTTGCATGGATATGGGCAAGCATCACTAATTTTAAAAGTTAAAGGTGTAAACCTCTTTGACAACAGCAAATGGAAGGATTACTTTACCTTTGGCAGGTTTATATTTGAGATTAAAAGGCTGATTCTGCCAGATATAAGGCACCAGTATAGGTGCAAAGTGGGTCATTATTCTTTCAATGTACTTCTGAAGAATCTCTTTGGGTTCTTCTGTGTCTCTTGCTTCATTTGGCATCAGGAACAGACAGTACTCCACAGCATCTTCTACCACTGCAAACTTCATACTGGCCTCCATTCTTTGAAATGACATTCAAAGTTTCAGTGATATAAGCCACATAGAAGGAGAAATAACAGCATTCCCCAAATGCTTCTATGTGACTGCACTATTTCCCAAAACTTTGATACGCACCTACCTACCATCTTCATGGTTTTGGTATTCATCAGACACCACTTGACCTATAATCTCTGAATGCCATTAATATTTAAAACCGTATTTCTTATACTTAAATTATGTTAATTGGAAACCTTGACATTATAGAGTGAATGGAGACCCAACAGTTCACTTCCCAAGTAAGTATGTAAAAATAAAAATTAAAAATAGCTAAGTGCAATGGGTGTGCCTACTGTCTCATCCTGAGGCAAGAGAATCACTAGGGTCCAGGAGTTCAAGGATAGCATAGCAAAGCCCTGTGTCACCAACAAATGAAATGTTTTGTCCTTAAATTAGTAGCAGTATGTGTAACACAATTTGAAAATATTACATTGCTATCCACTATTTGCTCTCAAAACTTCCATCTGTGCTTCTATTGCATACTTTGGGCACTTTCTTTGAGTCTTCTCGTTAATTGTGGAGCGGAAGTATTAACCCATCTCCAAAACACCTCATTACTTCAAAACTATGTTATCAGGCCGGGAGGTGTTGGCCACACCTTTAATCCCAGCACTAGGGAGGCAGAAGCAAGTGGAGCTAGTTCCAGGACAGCTAGAGCTGTTACACAGAGAAACCCTGCCCTGGGGGCGGGGGGAGCAAGCCTCTCACTTTACAAAATTTAAGTCTACAGAAGATTTAAAATTACAAACATTTGGGTGCTACCATTTCGTCCCAAAATAATTTGCCATGGTTCCGCTGCCCGCCTGATGCAGCGATTTCTTTTTTTGTTTGTTGTTGTATTTTTTTTGTTTGTTTGTTTTAAGATAGGGTTTCACTGTAGCTTTAGAGCCTGTCCTGGAACTAGCTCTTGTAGACGAGGATGGCCTCGAACTCACAGAGATCCGCCTGCCTCTGCCTCCCGAGTGCTGGGTTAAAGGCGGTCGTCACCACTGCCCGGCTTGTGATTTGATTCTTATACTAAGGAACCTGCATCTTCTATGCAACTACCCGCTCACCACGGTAAATTAGAATTATGCCGCCTTTCAACCCGAAGGGTCGAGGAAAAATTCTACCCATCCTCGCACTAACCCAAGCAGGAGTCCTCATGCAGCATTTACAGGGTCAGAATTGAATTTGAGATCATTCGGGTTAAAGATCACAACACAAATGACAAACCTGAGCGCACAGAATGAAGCAACCGAAGAGCACAAATTTGCGGCGGTCTCTTTGATCAAACTAGACTCCCATCTTCTACCCGACAAAGGCTAAGCAATTCCTTTAACGATTAGAGGCCCTGAGGGCCTCTGCTCTGGCACCTTTCCTTGGCCGCCTCTTCCACTAGGACACTTGGCCAGAAGATAGCGTCAATCGCTCAAGTCCAGCCCACGCTGGGTCCCCTCCGCTTGGGCCCTGAGCCGCTGCTGGAAACTTGGAAGAAGTAAGTCTATGTAGCCACTAATGCGCATCGGAGCCAGTTTCTGCACCGTGCTGTATTAGTCCGTCACTTCCGCTCTTGAGAGGAAGGAGGCAGGTCGGAAGACTTTAGAGTGGGAACTCTGGGAAGTGGCGGTCCGGAATCTAGGCGACGGGGCGAAACGGGGCGAGACGGGGCGAGACGGGGCCGATAGGTGGCAGGAAGGGGCTGGGCCGGAGCTGGCGGGAGGACCAGGCCCCGAGGCCCCCGCCCTGGCTTGTCCGCCCCGGCCGCGGAGGAGAAAACGGAGGATGATCTCCAGATACACTCGGAAGGCCGTGCCACAGAGCGTGGAGCTGTGAGTGGATGGCTCAGCCCGCCCTGCCTGGGCCGCGGGAGCTCTAGGGACCCTTCCTTGGCCAGGCCTTCTCTCCTTTCCTTTCCCAGGGCTCGTGAGAGAAAATGGTATTCTCTTCTCCCAACCTGATGGAAGCTGTCTTTTGTCCTTGGGTCACGAGAGGAGAGTGTGTCATCCATGCTGTCCTAAGACTGTTTTATGGGCTGTTTACTACATGAATTGAGGGAATGGATATCCAAAAGCACTTAATGTTCCCACAGTGCTTCTAGCCCCACTGAAGATAATAGCTGAATGCTACAATAAAGTTGAACGTATCTAGTTCCAAACACTTTGCAAAGCTGTTTGCTTGAATGCATTAGCGAAACCAGGAGACCGACTTGGCACGTGCAGCTAAAGATAACAGATCTAAAGATTGTATCTAGAAGATGGTGCTGAGAAGTACAGACCAAGTGGCAGTCCAATTCGAAAGCCTGTTGTCAAGACTTTACACACACACTGCCTTCACACCCCCGGCAAATAGTGATCAGTTTTGTTTGTGGACTAAAAAGCAAGCACTTGTAGCTTAAAGACCTGCTTTGTACGCTTAGTAAAGTGTTGTGACTTGGCAGGTAACGATAATGCCTTCCTGGCATGTTGCGATTTCAGAAGAACCTTCAGTTACTTTACTCTTTCAACAATTCTGAAAGATGACTATAACTAGTTTCTGTTTCTCAGACGAAATTAGAAAGGTTCCACATCTTAAGCAAATAGAGTCCGAATTTTTAAAAATCCCATTGTTCCACCTCACTGACCTAAGTAATTTCAGCAGCCATGCACTTACTAAATTTTAGCTATGCATGCTAATTTAAAGTCACGCCTGAGATTTTGGATGGACGCTTTTCTAGCTGTGTAGCTTTTGGGCAATTTATGAAATCTGGGCCTTCCTGTCCTGTCAATATATACAAGTAGTACCTACAAGCATCTCTAAAATGATGGCATAGGCCTGGCAGCTTCAGGGATTGAGGGAGATCCACAGAGTTGATCTCAATTGACTTTAATATCTGTCTATCTGAGGGAGTAAAACTTAATTCTCTGGGGCCAGCAGGATGGGCAAAACTTAACTCTCTGGGGCAGAAAAAAAGGGAAACACACGCACCTCCAACATGTCAGGATCTCCCCTAGGGTGCTGATGAAACGGCAAGCCTTCAGCAGGTCAGAGAAACCAAAGAGGAGATGCAGGGCATGCAAGCTACTGGACAGTCAAACAGCCACACGAGGACTTTTCCGAGGGCCAAGCTTAGTTCTTCATTTTATTATTTTAATTGTTGTTTGTTCTACTCTATTCTTTTCCTGTTCTGTTATTCTACCCTGATTTCCCTTCTATCTATTCTTATTTTTTCCTTCTAACTAAATTTATTTTTTCTCTTACAGCTTATATACCCCAGCAAAATCTTTCAAGCAGTATAAAAATTACAATGTAGTTTCATTCTATTTTTTAAGTGAATGATTACAATGAATACAAGTTTAAAAAAAAGCAGGTTTCCCTTATATGAGTAAACATTTTACATATTACAGGTGAAAAACAAGTTGTCCCAAGAACCCACGTACATTCATACTCAGTTTGTTGTAGATAAACAGCAAGGTATCTTTCTTAGCCAGTTCCTTTGCTGCCCGCTGCATTTTGTGGTTACAAAAAAGGACCAGTCACTTTATTATTTATCTCAAAAGGTAACTTTATTTAAAAAAAAAAAAAAACTACAAATCTAAACTTGTGTATGAAAAACAGTCAGCTCCACTGTAAATCCTCAGTTTTTATATCAGGAAGCTGAGGGCAGAAATGGGCACAAGGAATTGTTTTGTTTTGTTTTTCGAGACAGGGTTTCTCTGTAGCTGTGGAGCCTGTCCTGGAACTAGCTCTTGTAGACTGGCCTCGAACTCACAGAGATTCGCCTGCCTCTGCCTCCCAGGTGCTGGAACTAAAGGTGTGCACGCACCACCACCGCCTGGCTGGTACAAGGAATTAATCATCACCTTTGATCACCAAGCCATCCTAGCAGGAAAGGTATGTTAGCCAGCAATAGCCAGGCTCCCATGGTTCCTATTCTCTGACCTCAGCAAGTCCCATGTTCAACTATTAAAAATGTGTCTTTTTAAACTTTAAACTGTTCCCCAAGATTTGTACCTCAAGCCATTAACAAAAACATTTTAACCTAATCTTACTAATCTACATGTCTAAATTCTTTCTAAGGATAGTGGTTGAATTATTGATCTGCTCCAACAGCAATACTTAGAAAAAGCCAATCACAGCCGGGCGGTGGTGGCGCACGCCTTTAATCCCAGCACTCGGGAGGCAGAGGCAGGTGGATCTCTGTGAGTTCGAGACCAGCCTGGTCTACAGAGCTAGTTCCAGGACAGGCTCCAAAGCTACAGAGAAACCCTGTCTTGAAAAACCAAAAAAAAAAAAAGAAAAGAAGAAAGAAAGAGAAAAGAACACCCTGCTTTCCATGAGCATGCCATCCACTGAGGAGTATGTTATCGCCACCACAGCAAATCGGGCAATAGACTCTTTAGGGAATAAGAATAAGAAATAGTCACTTCCCAAAAGGATTTGGCTTAAAATCTGCCTTTAGGTTTTAAAATTCCATTCAGTGTGTGTACGTGTACGAATGCAGCAGCTTATAAGAGTAACTCCTTCCATTGTGTGTCTTGGGGATTGAACTCAGGTCCTGAGGCTTCGTGGCAAGTACCTCTCCTACTGTGCTATCTCATCAGCCCCAAATTCGCTTTTATAATTAATTCTAACCAGAGGAGTTAAAAATACATTTTGCAGTTTTGATAGTTCCTAAAAGTAATGTTTCCAAAAGGGGACCCAAGTGGAGTGGACGAGGATTAAATGCTTATAAATGATAGTAAATTAAAATGAGTTTTTTTTACTTTAGATGTTACAGTGATAATCCATTTTCAAGCAGTAGCTTCAAACAGCTTTCCAACAGGGTACTAAGTATAAGTGTTGGAAAGAGTTTAACAAAAGTACTCACACATACAGCCTTCCACACTCGCCCCCTTTCTTTGGTGCTGGGAATGAACTTAGTGTCTCACATATGCTAGAAAGCTCTACTGCTGAGATACATTCCCAGCTTTGGGAATGAAAAATTCAAAATAAACATCTAAGCCAGGTGTGATGACCTGTTTTTTTTTTTTATCATATTTCCATTGGACATTGCCCCTCTGGAACCTATATTCTGCTGGGTTTGTCCACTGAAATAAATAGACTATGTCAGTTATTACATCTTCCAGATCTAATAATCTACAGTAGGCATCATTTCCCCACAAAACACATTCAGGAAACTTGACGGGTTAGACAGAGTTTTACAAGTTTCTTTACAGGGAATCTTCCCAGGCCTTTAATGTACAAATGCACCTCATAATCCCTGGTACCTGTATTTCACGTGAAGCACAGGATTAAATAACTGCTTGTGATAATACAGTAATTGAGTGATGAATCCAGTGATCAAATCTAGGTAATCTGGCTCCAAGGATTCCCAGTTTGGGATTTTAGTGAATCGTACCATATTTGTACATAAAGCTAAGACCCCAGTTAGTGGATTGCACTTTAACTTTTCTCTCTAACGGTGGACATGATTTAAAAGTATATTCGGCTGGCGAGATGGCCCAGAAGTTAAAGAGTACTTACTGTTCTTGCAGAGGATCTTAGTTTAGTTCCCAACACCCATATCAGGGGTCTCAGTTGACCCAGGAACTCAAGTTCCTGGAGATCTGACACCTGTGTGCACCACAGACTCACATAGGCACAAACACATACACATAAATTTTTCAAAAAGTGTATTTTTACTTGGGGCTAACAAGATGGCTCAGCATGTAAAAGCAGTTGCTTACCAAGGTTGACAACAGAGTTCAGTTCCTGGGATTAACATGGTGGACGGAAAGAACCAGCTCTCACAAGTTGGTCTCACTCTTCACATGCACACACACAGAGAATAAGTAATCGTGAGCCAATGACTCTAGGGAATACCAACTATAAAAGAAGACTGTTTTATCTTTCACAGGAAAGGAATAACAAAGCACGCTCTTAACCATCATCCCCTTCCAGAGCAACTGGATGACATTTCCTCTACCAATGACGGCCATGAAAAAGATACAAGTTCTCAAAGGTACTAGCACAAAGCATGCTTGCTTACTTATTGCACTTGATAATGGCAAGGATTTTGTTCATTTGTACCACACCTATGCTAGTGAAACAAAACAAGAATTTTATCCCTATGAGAACCTGAGGCAGGAGGCTTGCTGGAGCTCAGACTTGCAAAGCCAGCCTGTGTGTGTGTGTGTGTCTGTGTGTGTGTGTCTGTGTGTGTGAGTCTGTACAGATGACTGCAGTTACTAGCAGAGGCTAGAGGTCAGGTTCCCCCTAACATGCACGCTGAGAACTGAACTTGGATCTTCTTGGAAAGCAGTTCACACTCTTAGCTCCAGAGACATCTCTCCTACCCACCAGAAGTAATATGTAGTTGTTATTAAGTAATTAGATTCAAAGGGGGATCAGACATTTGATTTTAATTCTATTCCTGCCATTTATAAGCTAAGTAACGGTGGGCAAATGAGTTTTCCAGGGCAGGTTCCAAAGCTACAGAGAAACCTTGTCTTGAAAAACCAAAAAAAGAAAAAAGAAAAAGAAAAACAGCAGTCAGAAGCTGGTTCTTTGGAAACTAGTCAGTAAAACTGACAAATCTTTCATTGGTTTGGCCAAGAAAAAAAAGACATTATCAGCATCTCTCATATGGTCTTGTAAATATAAATCAGATGAAGTATGTAAAATGTCACACATGTTTGTCATATATGATACAGAGTAAATAGACCAGCTTCGAGGAGGGTTCTGAAGGACAGTGTGCTGTCGTAGGAGACACTGTAAAGTCAAATCTAGTTTCACACCTAGAAATAAAAGTAAGATTCCTTGATTTTTAAAGAGAGTTCATTAGAACTGCATTAGCAGGTTACAGTAGCAAGGGTTTAATGGGGTGGGTATCTGTGCATGCACTTGGGGAATTACAGGAACTCACCGAGTTCAGACGTCCTGTCACCATTTCTGAACTACCTCCAGTGGTAAAGCATGACGTCACCGGTGGACACTGAGCAGCACAGCTGCCGTCATTTCTGTATTGCGAGGTGGGCTTTTCACAGTGCTTGAATTCCAAGTCGATTTTTTGCCTCTACAGATATATTGTACACATGTTTACCACCTGATAAGTTGCTGAGGAAACATGAAATTTTTCTTTCTTTTTTTTTCTTCTCCCTTTCTCTCAAATTAACCATTTAGTGAGTCTGACATCACCCAAGAATCACCGTTTACATCAACTGACACCGGGAACTCGCGTTCTGCTTTTCCAAGCTATGCAGGCACAGGGATCTCTACAGAAGGCAGCTCCGACTTCTCTTGGGGATATGGTGTGAGTTGTCCACTAATCATTCTGCTGCAGTTCTGGGAACTCTTGAACCGCCTCAGGAATTGTCATTCCTGCCCTCTTCGCACTCTGTATGCACGCATGTTTGCCGTGTAGGAGTGTGCTTGCCTTGTTGCCTTGTGTGAATGTGTGCTTTTCCTTGATCACGTTCACCTTATTTACTTACTTACGTATTTATTTATTTATTTACTTATTTATTGTTTTTTGAGACAAGGTATTTTTGACTGTCCTGGAACTTACTATGTAGACCAGGCTAGCCTGAAACACACAGAGATCCACTGGTCTCTGCCTCCTCAGTACTGGGATTAAAGTCATGTGACCCCATGCCCAGCTGTTTTATTTGTTGTTTTGAGACAAGGTTCCAACCAGAAGGTGGTGGCACACGCCTTTAACCCTAGCACTTGGGAGGCAGAAGCAGGTGCATATCTGTAAGTTTAAGGCCAACCTGGTCTACAGAGCAAGTTCCAGGACAACCAGAGCTGTTACACAGAAAAACCTTGTCTCAAAAAAAAAAAAAAAAAAATGTCCCACTAGGTAGCATTGGCTGGCCTGGAACACAGACCAAGCTGGCCTCAAACTCATAAAGACCTACCTCTCAGCCTCCCGAGTGCTGAGATTAGAAGCATGTGCCACTATTGCATGGCTTATTTGTTTTTAGAAAATGTGTGTGCATGTATGCATTTTATGTGTGTGTGGCTGCTGGTATCATGATCCATGGCAGGAGATTATAGGACAACTTTGTGAAGCTGTTTCTCAAATTACATCTTTACATAGGTTCTGGGACTTGAACTCAGATGCAAGCTTTTGGAGACAGGCACCTTAATCTACTGAGCCATCTCTCCAGCCCCCACTGTATTGGTTTTAAACAACAGTTAGCTGCTCTCTCTACAGAAAAGCCTAATTGTTTAAACCTATCATTATTATCATTAATCACTTCCCAATAGTTTTTCATGTATGTATATTTTCCTTGGTTATATGTATGTGCATACTATTTTGTAGTCTAATTTTGTCATTTGTCATTGTTAATGGTGATGTTTATTATTACCTCCACATCTGTCAACTAGAATAGTGTATATATAAGAGTTCTTGGTGTTAACCTATCATAATTAGATCGTCCCTGTATTTAATATTTGGGTTTTCGGGTTTATTAGTTTCTTCAAGAATATTTTGAGCATATCCGTCTGTTGCTGTAGTTACTAGGATATGGAGTGAGACTTACATAGTTCAGTCGTCTAATGAGGAGACTGCCCAAGGGATGGAGAGTGCAGAGTGACAAAGTGCCCCAGCGGCTCTAACATTATCTCTCCAGTAGGCTGAGATTTAAGGACTGCGGAGGTTACCGTGTGAAGAAAGAGAACAAGCACTTCTCAGACAAATAATGGCAGCTCTGCAAGAGCCCCAGAAGTGGGGATGGCAAGATGGTTCAGTGGATACTGTCATCAGGACCACCAGTGTTTGGATCCCAGCATCCATGTAGCAGTCTGGGTGTCCTCTCAAATGCCTGTGATCTCAACTCTGATGGGGTGAAGACAGGAAGATTGTTGGGACTTGATAGTTTGCATCTTAGCTGAGATTCAAACTGCAGACTCAGACTCAGGAAGAGACCCTGCCTCAGGAACAGGCACCAGAGTGATGGCCTCCTGGGCAGTGTGCATGCACAGGTACAGACACATAAATAGAGAAATAATGTTAAAGTAAAGGGGTGCTAAGAGAAGAAACTCATATTTCAAAGGTAAACATTCTTGGGACTGAAGAAAAGATGGGTGTGTAGAAGAGGTCCAAGATGGGAACCTGGGAAGGAAATGTAAATGACAGAGGCAGAAGAGCAGGACTTGGCAGTGGAGCCTTGCAGGGGTGGGGTGGGGATTAAACTTTATTCCTGGTGAGCTGAGTAAACAGTCCTGCCACCCCGTGTTGTGATCAGTGGCTTTAGGTTCCGAACATTGTGTACTACGTGTTTCCCATCCCTTGCTTTCCTTTAGGTGCTTGGTGTACAATGAATTTTTAGAATTAATTTCTAAATTACTTTAAAATGTATTTCTGGCCAAGTGTAGTGGCACATACCTTTAATCCCAGCACTCAGGAGGTGGAGGTGGGTAGATTTCTGTGAGTTCAAGGCCAGCCTGGTCTGCAGAGCTTCCAGGACAGCCAGGGCTCAAAACACAAATTAAAAAAAAAAAAAAAAAAAAAAAAAAT